CAGCAGCAGCTCCCTCGGGTCCCCCATGAGCCACACGCTGCTGAACTCGGGGTCATCTCCAGCGTCACCTTCTCCCAGATGAGGAAAACCCTTCCAGTGGCTTTTCCTTTCCCCTGCTCACGTGGGGAGACACAACAGCGGTGCTCTTCGTTCAGTTGCTTCCAGCGTTGCTTTGTTTTTTGTCTTTTATCTTTTATCCCAGTGTTGGGCTGGGTTTGATTCAAATCAGAGGCACAACTGCATGTCCCACAGACCGAGGATAAGACAAGCTCCTTCGCTTTTTGCTGACGGTCCTTCTCTGTGACAAGAATCCCTGTTTCCTTTTGGGACAGCACAGAGGACATCTGAGATGCTCCAGAAACATCAACAGCAGCATCAACGTCACGGATGACATCCTGGTCCTCAGCGTCCTGCTCCCCCAGGAATCTCTGGGCTGTTTTGTACCATCATAAAATATCTCCAGTGTCTGAGCACAAAGGTAAGTTCTTCTGGATGGATCAAAGGAAGGAAGTCCCATCGCTGGCTCCTTGGCCAAGCCAAGCTGCAATGGCTTTAGCTGTGGGTTCCTGTCCCTGCACCTACCCAAAGCCCAGGTAGCTCCATCCACCAGATGATGCTGATGGAGGGAGGGACACTGCTACACCCAGAGGCTTCACACAGGATTAGCTGAACATCAGTAATTCATCCAGCATGGGGAGGCAGGAGACTTCCTTCTCTGTCACAGGATTAACAAACACGTTATTAGATACAGGCAGTTTTTTCCCCCTTCAGCGAGTATTTTCAGTTTTAAGGAGCAACATGAACTTTTCAGCAGCAATTCTGGTGCAGGAAGGACACAAAGGGAACTTCTGACCCTGCTCAATGTAGTGCCCAAATTCCTCTATATTTAAATGAAAGGTCACAGACACCCTGCAGAGCAGCGTTCATCATCTCTGCCTCTCCTTCCCTGGAGAAGCTGTTTTCATATGGTGGTTGCAACCAGGCTGTATTTCCTGGTTATCCAGGAAAATCCAGGCTGTGGCCGTGTTCTGCAGATGATTCCCACCCCACAGCCGATTGCCTTAACAAAGGGCTTAAAAGTAGGTGCAGTAAATGCATCACTCACCCCCTGCAATGGGTCTGAGAGAGAAACACCCACCAGAAAGTGCCTTTTCTAAATCTGTTGAGACACATGAGAAACCAAAAGAGGCAGAAAGTAGCCAAGGAATCCTCTTGTCTTCTTCAGATCAACAAAGAATTTCTGTGGTTCCACATGTATGTGGATGTGAACTGCTGGATTGTTAAACAGGAGGAGATTTTTAACTGATAAAACATCTGAAGGTAAAGATTGTCAGAAACTTGTGTCTCTTGCTGGAGTATTTCTGACAGAATTTACCTTTGAAAGTGCCTTTTTTCTGATCTGGGAAGCATTTCTGATGCTTCCTTCCCTTACTGATACCATTAGGATATTTGAAATCCTTCCCACTCTTCAAGGCCAAATAAAACAGTCTGGGCCAGGAGAGCAGATTCCAGATGAGAATGGGTCTGAGCACCACATGAGAGGGGGGGCTGAACCCCCAAACTCCTGATGGATGGGCCAGGAATGCAGCCAGAGCCATGGACAAGATGTTTGGACACAGGTGGATGCAGAAGTCATTGGTGTCTGTGTTCACCTGTGCCACAAGGCTGCAGAGGCACATCTGTTGAAGAGCTGAGAAACCCCAAAAAAGCCCCAAATTAGCCAAATCCTGGGTGAACGTGACAGTGGGCTCTGGAGAGGGGACAGTCACCCAGCCCAGGTCCTGCACGTCACTGCACTGTGCCCGCTCCCCCCTTTCTCACTAGTCTTATGTCTCTGTTGCAGCTGCCACAGTGCTTTTCAGTCTCCTCCACCTTCTCCTCATCTGTCTCATTTCCACCTCCATGGGCTGTTCCAGGTCCAGCATTCCCAGTCCATGGCTTTGCTCCATGACTCTGCCCAGCTGGAGGAGAAGACACAGAGGCTGGAGGGATGTTTGCTGTCTGGGTCCAGTACTGCAACCCCGGGCAAGGGATCAGGTCCTCTCCTGTCCCTGCTTCTCTGGCTGCCTGCTGCTGTGGGATTTCAGAGCAAGGAACATCTCCCAGGGTTTATACAGCAGCAGGATCCAAACTAACTGAGAAATCAGGTGCCCCACAAATACCAATCTGAAAAGCAGAGAGGTGAAGGCAGCCAAGGAAGCCTTATTCTCTGTGGTAATGTAATCTTAACCCTCGCTGCTCTGAGGATCAGGAACACAGGGCTTCCTGCCTTACAAACCCTGATCTGCTCCATTTAAAAAAAAAAAAAAAGGAAGCAGTCCCAGCTCCTGGCCCAGGTCTCACTCAAATAAAGTCACTAATTTTGACAAAGGGACAGAAAACAGGGAGATGAAGCAGCAGCAAAGTTTCTGATGAACAGAACAAAGCGTGAAGTACCAGTAAGGAGCTGTAGGTATTTGTAAAGACCAAGTGCCAAAAATATTCCCAAACTGGAAATCCTGAGACATTAACAACTCCTCACGTTCGCTGCATTGCTGGAATTCAGACCCAGAATGAAGTATTGCAGCTTCCAAGTCAAATTTCATTAATGCTTTGCCTTTCTCTGGAGGCATCTAAAGCTCAGTCCACCATTAACAAAGCTTTGTGTCACCGCTAGGAAGCGTACAGCCCAAATCACCCGTATTTGAGCCGACACAGAGAAACTGCAACCGAGACACAGGAAGAATAACTCAGCTCTCGCTGCCGTGCGTAAAGCAGGGCGGGAAGTGGGATACAGAGCAGAGAATTTAACTATAGGACTGAGTTTGTACCCACATAGAAGTTCAGGATGAAAAGAAACATGGGGGGAAAAAGAGGGAATGCAGCCAGGGGGAGGGAAGGGGTCAGCTCAGTGTCACTTTTACACACAAACTTGGCTTTTAAAAAAAATTACTGGATTAGGCTAATACAGCAGATGAAAGTGAGTGTGAATGAGTGTATAGAGTGAGCCCAAGATGAGAGTATAGAGCAAGAGGAATTCCTGTACAGCCATGAGCCTCAGTGTTTTACACCAGCACTGGTAAGTGCATCTTCCCCTCGAGCTTTTCCTCCAGCTCTGAACGCACAGCGATGTCTGTCACCATGTCCCTGCTGAGCTGATGACAAGTTGCCATCACAATGTTACGAGCTGCTATGAAAGGCAGAATAAAAATTAAAAAAACCCCCCTCTGCTCCATACCTGGGAGTTTACTGAATCTCCTGCTGAGCTGACAAGTAACAAAAACATTGTAGGAAAGCTCACTGCATGTCCCCAACACCCCAAACTCACCCCAAATTCTCCAGCCCAAGAGGATACGCACTCACAGGCGGCTGCGCTGGAAGCCTGGGGCAGATTCGAGGGTGACACCAGGATCACCAGCTACTGCAGGACAGAAAACAGCCCCCACATACCCTGAGCACGTCCTTAAACCTCTCTCCAGCACCACCACACTCACCCACCTCTTGAAGGATGAATCCCACCACTGACCCAAAGGACCTGGGGATAAATCTGCTTTTAAAAGTAGTTTATTTGGATTTTCCACATCCTTTAATGAATCGCAAATATATTAACAGAAAAGACTTTTTTTTTTTTTCCTAAGACTGTACAATTTTTGAAATAAAAAGTCAGGAAAAGCAAAAAAAAAAAAAAAAGAAAAAAGGAAAAAAGACAAATTACATTGTTTCAATGCAAATAGTACACACCACACCCACACTTTGCATTTTTCCATAGTTTCGGTGTAAGAAAATGACAGTTCCCTAATTCTTTTCAGTGAACCTATTTGCTCTAACCTGGCTGCCAGAGTGCCTTCATGCTCGCTGTCTTTCTCCCTGCCCCTCTTCAAAGAGAGCAAAATTTTAATCGATTAAATATTAATTTTCATGTCTCTATTTAGAAGGTAAAATAGCAGCATGGTCTAAACGTTACTTGAGATTCCTGGGGGAAAAAGAATAATCACTTTAAGGTACGATGCACGTATGAAGTGAGTATTAAATCCTCCAGGTAGCACGAACAGACGTTTAGCATCCCAGCTGAATTAAGAGCTCTTTCCAGGGTGTTGAAAGTTTGAGTATAATCGTTCACAATTTTTAGAGAACAAAAGAAAAGGGAAAAAGCCACCTCATTTCCTAGATCTCTGGTCCTAATTTAAACAAGCAGAGTTTGGTATGGAAAAGAATTGAGAGTAGCACCTGCTTACTCCTGCTTTTTGCTTAGAAAATATGTTGGGAACCAAAAGGAAGCCAATTAACATGTTAATTGGTGGCACTGACACAAGCGATGCCTCCAGACCTTACTCTGAGGTGCTGCTGAGAAACTCCTCACAAGGGATGTGCTGGGAAGCTGCAAACACGCTGGATGGGAAAACCACACCAGGACCGACCCAGGTCACTCAAAAGCACCGTGTGTGAACTCTGCAGCAGATGCAGATCAGCTCTTGGGAAATGTGAACCCCGCATCTTCCTCGGGGAGGACTCCCCAGGAAAAGGAAACACCTCAGAATATCTGTCACCACAAGAAGCCGTGAAAGATTCAGTCTGCTCAAGTCAGCTGAAATAGGTCATGATTTTCCAATCAATTCACCCACCTTCCAGACACAAGCTGATCAGAATTATGTGGCAGAGGCACAAAGCTCCTTTAATATATTATCATTCCTCAGATTTCAGAAATTCCTTTTCACACTATTAGGGGAGTTTAAGCCTGTTTTTCTCTGCTTATCCTCCTACTTCCCAAAAAAATAGTAATCAGATAATTATATTTTCAGAAAATCATGCTCAGCACTTGGGGATTATTTTTCAAATGATAAAGGTGTCCGTGTGACTCATGACCAGAGAGGAGCTCTGACAGAAAACGTGCCTTGTGTAAGACAAGGACAGAATTTAAAAAAATTAAGTTCTAAAGGTAACTAAAAGACCCCTAAAAACAAATACATTAAAAAAAAAAAAACAAACCAAAACCCCAAACATTTAAGACTGATCACAACAAATATGTTGCTATGAAATTTATATCATTCCCAATTTATTATGCATAAATTGCTCTTTAAAACTGCTCATATCATACACTTTATCATCACTGCACAAAGGGCACCAATTGTTGCAGCAGAAGGCTACAAAGCTAGTTTTGGACTCATTAAGTGGCGTAGCTTTCTTCTCACAGAAGCAGGCTCTGTAGAAGACGAAAGTGTTCCTAGAGTGAGAATCTTAAAGAACAGTTTAAAAAAAAAAGTGAAAGACAGATAATTGCACATTTTTGCATCCTGCTTGGACCACACTTTACAAAACAGTTCTAAAAATAACACTAATCTTAGACAATTGATGCGTTTGACTGTAAGGTTCTGATTGTATTAAGGCTTCCTCGGTCTTCCCAGTCTATCAGCTTAGAAACACACAGTCACTCTGGATTAAGGGTCTGATGTTTTCACATTACAGTTGTATCTACATTTCTCTCTTGATTTTGCCCTTTATTAGTTTTTTATTCTTAAAAGGGGAAGAACAAGTCAAGGGGTATATGAAAAATAAAACAAGATGGTGCTGACTTGTCTCTTTAAAGTACAAAGTAAACACTGACCTTTCAGAAACTAGGTGAATAAATTAATTCTTGGTTAGAAGATGAAAGCATTTAATGAAAGCTTTGATTCTGCAATGTGATTCTCCTGCTACGTTTCCACTCCTGCAAGTTTGCACTCTAAGTAGGGACAGGGGATATTTTACGCTGTCCAACACACTCCTAGTCCTGAGCATGTGCATCGTGTTTGTTCACTGGAGACACTGCAGCTTTAAGGTCATTCACATTCCCTGGTATTTAAGTTACACTACAATATGCAAAAGTCTTTTAACAGCCTGCATTTGTCAACACTGTCCTTGATGAACTTGGAAATGAGGTTCAGCACTCTGCTTTACCAAGAAAGAACCAAACTAAGACACATTTCTGGAAAAAAAATAAAAATAGAACAAGACACTGCTTCATTAGTACTATCCCCACATCTACTGGCTTCGTTACAGCAAACCACAAGTCTTTCTTCCATGATATTTTTCCAGCAAAGGGGAGTACAAAAAAACAGCATTTCCTCCTCAGTCACTTTCATAAATGTGTAAGAGCCAACTAGTCAGACTCAGTAGCAGCTGAATATTGCACTGCCATTAACTCTGCGTACAGTTTAGGTCTGAGAGGTGTACTCGTGGTGTCAGTGGAGAATAATGACAATGCTGGCTCAGTGATGTGAAGACCCAGGATGCGAAGGAAGGGGAGAACACAACAGTACCAGTCACACACTCAAGCTCAGATACTGGCTTTTAGAGGTTAAAATTCATCACTTTCAACTGCGTGGAGCTGCGTGTCATCTGCATCTGTCATGCTGCTCTCTTGGGATTCGTCTGTTCCAACTTGAAAGAAAAAAGAAACACAAAATAGTCAAACACTAGTGGGCTGCTTCACCACAAAGATTCCCCCCCAGCACGTCAAAAGGTTTGGATTTCCCCTCAAAATGCTTTAAATCCATATGGCTTTTGCCTTCTTCTAATATGCTAACCTCTACCAGCTTAATGAAGTCTAAATAAATACATTTAGAAAGGAATTAGGTATTAACAAAACAGGAATTAACACAAAATAGGTATTAACAAAACATGCCGCCTTAGCTATCTTCTGTTAAAAATCTGGAGTCTCTAACACCTAGTTAGGTAGGGATTGGTATGGAGGGTTCCAAAATTGCCTTGGTGGCAATTAAACCTTCCCACTCCTCCAAAACACACTGCCTGAAATGCTCACAGTAGTTACCCACTGCATGAGTGCATTGTGACCCCACAATTTACAAACTAATAATATTAATTAGTAGCATGAGGCAGCCTCAACTCACTCCCTGCTTCCATGACAAAGAATACTGCATGAGGGATGGGGCAAGAGAACTGCTTTGAGTAAACACATACAGATCTTTCTGATGCTGAAGAATTACTCTGCTCACTCAGCTCAGATGATGGCTAGTGCTTCCAGGAAAACAAGACTCCTAGGATTTGAATAAAGACAGCGTGCTGTGCTCAGCACACAAGAGAAATGTGCACGTACCGAGAGGCTACCCTTAAATATTTAACTTTTGTCCATTCAACACCCAAAATGACTCACACTGGCCAATATACTGAAAACAATTTCTCCTCACCCCCAGTTTGAGGGGTTTGAAACAATTCCTCCTCACCCCTTAATTTACTTCAGCTTGTCTCATGTATCCTAGAAGAGTTATTCAGCTGACACTGTGAAACTCTCTACATTTTATCTGCAGAGCCAGGGAAACTGAATTGCTTACACACAGCCTAGCACTGTTCTATTTTATGGTTATTGGACAGATTAAGGTGGGGTGGTGTTTGTGGGGTTTTGTTTTTGTTTGTTTTTTTTTTTTTTTAATTGCTTAGGTGCTGCTCAGCAGTTCAAGAACTCTGTCTCCATCTCCTGGTCAGAAATATGCTCAGCCCCAGTGAGCCAGTGTTCTAAGCCCAACTATAATACCAGGAAGAGAAAAAGTCTTGATACTTCAGGAAGTGCAGTACAACCTGTTTCCAGTATTAAAAAAGCACACCATATGCAGAATCAATAAAAATCAATGTGATATACAGCAGGAAAATGTGACAACTTTTTCAGATGAAGATTTAGAGTTGCAGCACATAGCATACATCTATTAATAAGAACCCAAAACCTGCTTTAATTTCTTCTTCAGAGGGAAAGAATTAAATGGCTTGTTAGTATTTATTTTCTATCATTATTTCAGTCTGCAGAGAGGTCAGTATTTATGACTTTTTTCACACAGCTCTCCATGCTTCATGGAATTTCAGCTCATAATACAAGGTTGAGAGAGAAGAGAAAGCCAGGCCATTCCTTTTTGTGGATTACTCCCAAGTAGTATAACTGGAATGTTTTATTATCTCTTGATTCAAATGAAACTGCTTCCATGACTTTCATCAAAAGCTCCCTTTTATGCTTAGCAGACCAAATATTTTTTTACCCAACATCCAGTTTGTTTAACTGTTGACAAAGCCTCTACAGACAATTTCAGTTGCCATTTAATTACCTTGAAGTGACTTGATGGTTCTATGAGGGAAGGTTTGCAGCTCTGGGAACATCTTGCTTTCCTAGGATACTATTAGCCAACTGTGATTTGTAGGAATTTACAATAGTCATTATCTTTGTCCTACTCCATCTACAGATTCTAAAGAAATGTCACAATCCTTTATTTCATGCTTACTGTAGGAAGCACAAGTGAATTCTTCTGAATGAAGTGGAGTCCTGACTTGCTGAGCAGTGAGGTTGAGCAGTGTGCTTTCACTTATTACACCTGGGATTTTTCTTATCACCTAAGTAGAAATATCTCCTTGGATGACAAAGGGTTGTCAATACAAACCTGATTCATAGGGGTAACATTCACTGATTTGCTCTTCTTGAGTAATTGGCTCCTCATCATCTGGAAGGTAACGTTTATCAATGGCCTCTTTAATCTGGTTATTGGCTCCTTTGGGATCTAAGTCCATTGCCCATGAGAAATTCATTAGGGCCAGATGTGTTTGACCCAGTTTTTTATAAACCTAAAATAAAAGCATAAAAAGCTACATTTACATGAAGTTGCTACTTGAAGGTTTGGACAGCAAACGTATCAAGCCACAGTTAACTGGTATTTTATGAGAAGCAACAGAGGGTAGATAGGAAAGACTTATTATACAAGTTCCAAGGGAAACAGCAAATATGTGTAGAAAGAGCGAGAAACTGTTTCTATTTAAGACTTAAAAAAATAAATTTAATTAAACTAGCAGCTGACAGATACAAAAACATAAAGAGGTGGACCTTCAGATATAAATTTAAGCTTTGGAACTCTGCAGCAGGGTAGTGTAAAAGTTATTAGTGTACGTGTTTTGTTTTGTCTTAGCCCCTCACCACTCTTTCAATTTCTTGAATCATTTTACTTGTGGCTCAGGAAAAGTCCAAAGTCTCAGATTTCTGATGTCAGAAGCCCAAAGAATAATCTAGGGAAGAATCACCACGTGTACACATTAATCATATACTCTTCCCCACAGCTCTCATGCTGAGGACTGGCAAAGGCAGGATACATGGTTAGACAGATTTTGATGTGACTCAGCACGGCCGTTCTTATCTCCCAAAGTGCCATTTTAACTGTCATTGGCAGGAGGAGAAGATAACAGGACATGAAGTGACACCTAGTGTGTCCTGCTAAACTGAAGGGAAACATTTTCAAGACAACACTGCATTGCAGAATCCAGTCCATATTTTAACTTTCCTCATCACTGTAACATGCACTGAAATTCACCTTATCATTAAGGACAGATGAGCAAGTCCTTTATCTGTGTTAAGTATTTAAACAGTGAAAGTACACAAGTCTGTCAAGACATGGCGACTTTAATACCAATTTAGAGGTCCAGCTACTCCTGGACAAATACCAGTCAACAAATTTCAGCAGAAATCCTTTTACCTCTCTCGAGTTTAAGAAAAAAAAAAAAAAGAAAAAAAGAAATCTGCAAGTTTGTCTTGTTGCTTCCTAGTGAACAGACACCCCACAGAGGAAGAAAATTGCAGAACTTATTTAAAGCATATTAGCAGAGAAGCTGGTGAAGAAGGAAGATTTCTATTACTAGATAACTTCTCTGGCATTAAACACAAAGAAGGTTGGACTGTAAACACAACTGACGAACTAGTAATATCTTTTCCTGCACCAGTCTACTCTGTTAGCCTCATGAAAGACTCTTCTTACTTTCAAACTGATAACCTTCTCCAGCTCTTTTGGGGAGGCTGTCAGCCAAAAGGACATTAAGGCTACTAATTGGAGACTTAGGAGTATTCTACAATTATTCCTCCTTCAGCATTTCTGATAAAACATATTAGAACATGAATCAATGTTTTAATAGCTACACGCACAAAGAACCAACACTGCTGATGGATGGATGGACTATCCCTCAAAATGTTAATGATTTGCATTGATCACATCATGGCTATTGTATTGAATCAAGTCTTGATAGAGTTCCATTTTCAGGGAAAGAAACCTGTGTGCATAACCACTGTATCTCTTTTTCAGTCAAGTAACTTTATCAGCACCAATTTCTTGCTTTTTAAAATTAATTATCTTTCAAGTTGACAGTGGTGAAATCAAAGCAGGAAAAGAATAACACTGGCTTGGGTTATTTTTTTCTTGGTTTGTTTTAAAGAGAGCTGAAGGCTGCTCCATTAATAACTGTCTTTTGCATTTAAAAGCTGATACATAATAAAGCTGTGAGCAGGAAGTCTTATTTAAAGCTTTGGGAATTTTTAGAATATGGCTCCAAATGGAAGCAGCTTGGCAACAGGCACCAAATTTTCTCATTAGGCATACATTTCTGCAACAGAGGAAACCAAAGGACTTATGATCACAGTTAAGTTTTACCTACCTTTCCTATTAAAAAGTAAACAAGAGACTCTTTGGGAACAATCTGTTTCAGTTCTTCAAGTTCTTGTAAAGCAGACTGAAAAGGAAGAAAAAAAAGAGCTTAGCAAGTACAAGCTAGCAGTCTGCAGCCAGTTAGGACATCACTAAACTATGATTTAGCACTAATGTGAAACAAACAAAAAAAATCTGGCATTTACATACAGGATATTTCATCAAGAACAATACTACAATCTCATGAGAAGCACCTAAAATTTTTTTTACATTAGTTTCTTATTTCAAGATTGTTGCACTTTAAAGCCCTATTACTACAGAAACAAAGCAAGATTATTGGGCTTTGGTCTCCTACAACACATCTAATAGCTTTGACTTAAATTTCCCCCTTCTACCCCAACAAGGCATAACAGGGTAGAAGACAAGAAGCTGACGGTGTCTGTACAGTGAGCACTTCCTTTAGTACACTGAGGTTCTGAAAAAGTAATATAACAATCAAAAAATGTAATATAGTTCCCTTGGCAAAACAAATACTTCATGTTAACCTGTACAAACTAGGCTGATGTCTCAGGCTCTTCCTACAAGCCCTGATGCTATCAGTGCTGATCTGTAAACATTTAGGTTCCAGTGCATCCCAGTCACAGCTACAGCAATTTAAAGAAAATTTATGGTTACCTATATGTACCAAATCTTACCTTGTACTTTTCATTTGCAAATAATACAGAAGCTCTATGGAATTTGCATAGCGGGTTCTTGGGGTCAATATTAATAGCTTTATTTAAAGTATCCAAAGCCTTTTCAGATTTTTTCAGTGCATGCTGGACCTATTACATAAAGAGAGAACAATTTGAAAAGGGAAAACAACAGCTCATCTGCTAGATAAGTACAGATCCATTTGACTATATTTACTTACAATCTGTTCCTTTAAAAAAAAAAAATATTTGTCCAATTCTAGACCAAGTCTTAACAAGCTTTCTTACAGGAAGAAAACCTCACCTCGCCTTAAGTCTCCACCTCAAAATGTTCGCCCCACCCAATGGCTTACAGAAATCATTTAACCTTTGGCCAGGAGTGAACTCAGCACCTTTCTCAGTATGTAAGTGAGAAGCAGTCACTATCCCTGTAGAATTTGACAGCGTTTTGATGCTACATAGAAGGCAAATGAATGCCAGCAGGTAACCACCCATCACAAATACCTGAGAACTGCTTCCCAACTTCAGAAACAAGCATTTGCTAGAGAAAGGCTACTATTATTTTAGTGACTGCAGTAGCAGATGGGTAAATGAGCAACTTTTCAAATAGCCCTGTTAATTTAACTAAAGAGATGGTCGCTGAAGTAGCTGCCTGCTGCTGAAAACTTCACTTGGCATAAAGGGGCCTAAGTAGAAAATTGTCACATCTACACGTGACTGGAATGAGTGTGACGGGGACACACAGCCAGAACAAAAATACTGCACTCTGAAAGGCGAGACGAGTGCCTGAGCTTTTTTACAGACCTGGAAGTGCTAGTCCAAGTGTGTGCAACAGCAGTTAGAAACCACTTGCTTTCTTATGAATTAAGTATAGAAAAACCTTATAAATACTCTGTTTACATTAATTATCTGCACACAGTCTTGATTTTCATATTACTGCTATTTTGACTGATTCAAACAAGACTTGACAGCGTAATTTCATTACTTGTTAGAAGTAGTTTGGAGAGAGAGAAGAGGATTTCTTTTCTGACACAACAGTCCTGTGGTTATTCATTCACATGGCACTTAAGATCCCCCAATAGGTACTCTGAACTTGTTGGGCCTTTTTGCTAAAAATACTCAGAATTACTTTTCTACTGCAAACAAAGTACGGGAGCATATTAAAACAAAAAAGAGATTTAAGTGCAATCTACTTACTACTCCAATGTGACACAGTAAGACTGAGCTCTGAGGATTGATATCAAGTGCTTTCTGGAAATGCATTTCTGCTAGACTGAATTTTTCCTGTTTGTAATAAATCATTCCCAATCCATACCTACAAGCAGAAAAAACAATTTTGTTAAGTAAGACTGTATTCTAATCAAACTAGTCTTTGTCAGTGAATATGACCAGGCAGAAATGATCTATAGACTTTCCAGGCCCATTCAGAGTGGGGAAAAGCTATGTCTAAAAAAAAAAATCTCCCCCCTAACTGGGTAGTTTAAAGAACTGCTATGTGATATACTGGAAGATTGGTTAAACTGCCTACATCTTCTGCAGAAATAGCTTTGCTCTATTCTTAGAGAGAAGAGTGGTAGTGAAACAATAGCAGTGGCAGCATCTGGAAGATATTTCTCCAAGAGGCGTTCTGTATCACATGCAATAGCAGGGAGATGGAGCAAGACTTACCATGCATTATAGTGTCTAGGATTGACTCTGATTGCATTTCTAAAACAAGCTAATGCTTTGTCTAATTCTTCTGTTAACACAAATTCATGTCCCAACAGGGTGTAGGCATAAGCATAGTTTGGATCAACTTGAATGGCTCTCTGGAAGAACTTGATTGCAATGTCATGCTCTCGTTGCAAGCTGAAACAGTTGCCTGCAGCACACCATGCCTAGGAAAAAAGAGCATTGCAAAATTAGCACACTTTTTACAATTCAGAGTGACTAAGTTTGAGCTGAACAGATACTGATTTACATAATGATATATAAACTTCTTCCTAGATTAAAAAAAAAAAGAACAATAACAATACAACAGTTAACTAAAGTCTCATTCCTGAGGGGCAGATAGGTCTAAACACACCTCATAGCTAGACAAACTGAAATACAGAAATCAAGACTCTAAGGACACCCAACAAGTTTGTGCCAATTAGACACTTTGATGACTAATGACTGAAGCTTTTGAAGCTGTTGAAAAGGCCAGAAATAAACCATCTTAGATATTTAAGAATAATGAAGGAGGAGACAGCACATTCACTTTCATTCTTCAGCTCCCTCCAGCTGACAAATCTGGAAATCTGCAGAGCAACAATTTTAGCAGCAACCTCCTCTCTGCCTCCCAATGGTTGCTGAGCAGGATTTTAAAGCATCACAGTCCAGGGTCACTTGCTTTCCCAAATTTTTAGCATCACTGTTGAATCACGTAACTGTTTTCCGCTCCTTGTATTAGGATCTGCACTTTCTTCTCTCCAGACTATCTTACTACAACTACCAACTGCTTCATTGGTTTTGATTTTCCCACTACTAGACCAACTAACAAGACAACATGAACAAGATTCTCTCTTCCAACAACAACAAAAAGCCAAATATAATCTACAGTTTCCTCAACTCCATTAAGAACACATTTATAAACACACACATCTATTCTGTTTATTGTGGCACCCATTAAAAGATGCCTGGCTTTTTGCAAATTGTGACTTTATATGACTATAAACTCTGCAATTTAATGGACTTTGTCATAAAGTTATGCAACATTATATTTGAAATTAAGAACTGGAGCAAGTATGTTTTAAGTGCCAGTGAATTAATTACAGGAATTCAAAGGTAGTACAGGAAAAAGATATTCCTTATCTTCACATACTGGCAGCAGGAGTGACTGACTAACCCATGATCTTCCTGGATGAATAGTACCAAAGCAAATTTAAATAACCATTAACAGATAAAAGGTTTCAACCTGTTCCATGTAAGCTGATACACTAATTCTAAGAAGCTGTTTCAGGCATCATTGGCTCAACAGACAAACCAGCCACCTCCCTCTCCACAGCTCTGCCACACAGTTCTCACAGGGGAAAACACTTGAGCTAGATTACAGAGCTTGGTTCCAAATCATTGATTTTGCCACATACAGTTCCCCTCTTCCCATTCAACACCACAGCATTCTATACCTCAGGTGAATTTTTATCCATGTCTGTCAAATCCTTTGAAAGAACTGAGAGAGCAACATCTTTCTGCAGATGCCACAGCGTAGTGGAATAGATCTCCATGCCTTCTACTCTGTAGTTTTCAATCCTCCTTACTTCTGAAAATATTCTTTCGGCCTAAGAACAGAAATTCAACTTCAAATAAAATTCCACCCATCAAAGCAGAGCACATAGGTCAAGGTCAGAAGCCTCATATGTCGAGATTGAGCATCCTCTTTGTTTTGTAGGTGTACTATGCTGAGCTACAAGTCCTGTAACTTCATCTTCAAGCAAAGGAAGCAACTATACCCCAATATACTTATGCCAGCAGAAATGCAGCCCGTCCTTCCTAGTGCTGACTCAGATTACATTACTGTTTCTATCAGAGCACACAAGTGAGGCAAAAAAAGTTACCTGCAAAATCAGATGACAGGTATTATTGCATTCAGACTGAGTGCTACACTCCCCCCAAAATTCTGCATAATAATTACAAGGCAAAAGGCAGCACAACAATCCCTGCAGTAAACGTGGCTGATGCAGGGATGGAGGCGTGCACAAGCATGTGACAACACATGTATGTGCTTTACTTTCATTTGAGACAGCTAGGCCTGTTATCCACAGTTGACTAATGAAATCCTTTTAACGTAGACATCTATTTCATAAACTAAAATCCAGGTTATGACACTCAAAAGCAGCAACAAGGGAAGAGGGCTAGCTTTAGGAGGTCATTAAGGACTGTAGCCTCAGGTTTCAAAATAAACTATCAAGAAGCATGATGTGTTCTACCTCTAATCAGACTGTGTATGATTTAAAACACACTGCTGAAACCTACTGCATTTGTTTCTTTCACACAATCTGTCAAAAAGCATTTTAAAAAACTTCTGAGGAAATGGGCACAGCCACTATCAGGGTAACAGTGACAAGGAGAGTTAAACTGATGAATTACCCTTAACCACTCGCTTCCGTTTCTGAAGCAGTTTGACATCACCTCAGCTGTGCCAATGCTGTCATTTCTAAGGCTGCAAGGGAAACTAAGTCATTGATATAATTTACGTTAACTAAAGAGGGCAAGAATTGTTTCAGTGATCCAATTTACAACATTGCAGTACAAACAATCAGCACAGCTGTGGGTGAAGACAGGGAGAGGCAAGGAGGAGACCTCAATGGTTGGACGCACGAGGAAATAACATTAAAAGAAATCTAAAGCCTAACTCGGCCTCCTCAGGAAAGCTCAATGACTACTGATGCAGATTCAAGATCTAAATCAGTTCCAGGTATAATTTTTATGCTTATACAATTATCTCAAGTGTAAGTTTCCCATATCTTTTGCAGGAATTCTGCAGGTTTTGGGCAAAGTTATGCAAAACAAAAGTGAAAAGAGTAAGAAGCAACCCACAGAGTTCCTACCTGCATATATTCTGCAAGTTCGAAGTAAGCTCTCCCAATTTGGCACAGCACCCAGCCAGTGTTGTAGTGGTGGGATGGTAAATGGCTTAAAATATTTATCGCTTCTTTGCAGTTGTATGAACACAAGGCTAAATAACCTTTCCCCATGTCACGGAGAAGGCTCATCAAACCTTCTAGGAGAAAAATACAATAAATAAAAGTGGGGGAAAAAAAAAAAATAGACAGCTGAGACTTATGTACTTGAAACTATTAATCCCATAAACTCTTCATTGTGGCTGGCAGTGATCCTGAATTTGCCTATGAAAATCTTCCAGGAGTTCCCAAACACAGGTTTATACACTCTTAACTTAGGCACAATATTCTAAACATCAACTTTTGTAACAGAAGTCAGATAGTAATGACTGCTTCAGCCAATTACAGAACACTCAGGAACAGAGAAACTCTGAAGTTCTGGGCAACTGGAGTTTTGCATTTACAGCAGCTATTGAAACATCTTGTTAGGTTTGAACACAGTTTCCACATGTCTGGTATCCATGGATACATCTTCTTGCTGCCTGGAAACGTTATCGAGCCAAAAGAGATGAATTCAGCAGTTTGTCTCAGATTTTCTGACAATCTTAAAGACTCGTTTTTAAACAAATGGAAAATAGGAAGGGAGAACAGACTACATTAAACCAGTTTTGAGGGAAGGTGACAGGGTTACTCATAACTCCTTTGAATCATACTCCAAGGATCTTGCCTGAAAATATTTCAATCATTAATAAGGACCAGAGACTGTAAGATATAACTGTTTATAACTAGCCACTTTTTACTACTTCTTCACATGTTCTTTGTAATTTAACTAGGAGATACTGAATTAAACATCTTTATAATTATACAAAGGTGATAGCTGCAAGCTAACTGAAACAAGAAACAAACACTGGAGCAATTTTTTTTGTTCATTCAACCTTAAAATATACATATACGAAGTTTTAATCTACTACAGTTCAACATGGTTCTAACAGACCTGCTGCTGCCTTCTGTAGCGTAAAAGCCTGGATCTGTGGCACGACAGTGGAAATTTTCCCTTCTGAAATGATGGAAGAGTCCAGTTTGGTAATTTCCAAACTGTCATTTAAGTTTGGTTGAGTTATTCCTCCCTTATTTGTTTTACTTTTTGTTTTTCTGTTTGGAATCTTAGGTGGAAACTTCATTTTTAATTTTTTGCTATTTTCCTGCAAGTAAGAAGAGTAAGAGTTACATATAAAAAAAGGCTTTTAAATTCAGGTACACTCAACTTGAAAGTGAATTATGTAAAATTACATTTATGCCTCTTTGCAGCCTTAATAACGATGCCCAGCTGTTTGAGTTTTAAACTTAAGTATAGAGACACTCAGGAACTTCATTGAATATGTTTAGCAGTTCCTTTTTAAACAGCAAATGTTCACATGGCCTAACTATAGCCCATGAGTATTTGTACTTTGGTGTTCAGCTCCATTGTCTGGAGAGCAGAAAACAGATATGAAGATAACTGTTTTGTCGAGAGAAAGAGGAGAGAGAGAGA